TTAAGGTTGTGCAGGGCATGAAATCTTGTAGAAGGAGAAAACTCAGCAGTAAAATATCCAGATCAGAAGGTGTTTATGAGTACAAAACAAATTACAGGTGCAATAAACTGCAGCAGATTGAAGCATCCCAAAGGTTAATAAGATAACCTACATAGTATCATCCAGGCATTAAAACGGTGCATAACATTCAGTGAGTAAATGTTGACTTCTGTGAAAACAAATGTCTAGATTTATCCAGCGCCATACAAAGGATGAATAAACCTTTTCTCTAGAACAGGGGAACAGTATATAGAAAATTTTCTAAATATTACCATCTAAGTGCTTTGAAATACTTGTATGGTCAGCATGCATTTCAAGCATAGTTTCGTTTTCCCTTCTCTCTGGTACTTAAAGGTGGGGAGGGGAGCTCTGTGGTAAACCTGCCTTTTTCTTCTGAGCATTTTTCCTTCAGCAACCCTACAGCAGCACTGGTATATGCTTTTGCCAAGACATCCCTTCCACATTTCATGCCCTGTTTAAAAAGCTATAAAATTAGATGCTAAAGATATTATTTTAAAGTTAGTAAGACTGTCAAAGTCAACTCTGTAGTTGTTGACATAAGCTTAACAAACTGGGTAACCTGTTCCAGATCTCAGATGGTTGTTCTTTAAGAAAATGAACAATTAAACCTTACTGATTCATTGCACAGTTTTTTAGTTATTAATGAATCAGGATTTTGGCTTTAAGATAACTATGTTTTGAATATATGTATGTATTATATGCTAACTAAGTCAAGAAGCAAATTTGTGTGTTACTTCTCGATAGTTTCTTATGTTTCAAAAAGAGAGCAACTTCAACTATTTATAAACTGTAATTAAGTTTCTTTACAACATGACTCATTCTCAACAAGCAAGTCCTTTTTCTTTTGCTGTCTTATGAACTGTGTGGGAAAATTAGGGTTCAGTCACTGAAGAATTTACTCAATGCTTAATTACCCAAAACAGCCCTCCAAGTTCTGCTCATGTAGAGCTTTCATAAAGATGTGATTTTCCCCGCACTATGGCTTTCTAAAATTTGACTTTTTAAAAGTGATCTCTAAATTGCAACATAGAAGCAGTCTTTTACTACAGTATTGGCTTCTTTCTCAGTCTGCTTCTTTGAGCTCCTCTTATATTAACAGTGTGATGCTTAGGAAAGCCAAAGTAAAAAATCATCAGGATTAAATTCCTTTGAACATGAAACTGAATGAGAAAGCTTTACTTTCCTGAATGAGCTAATTGTTTAAATTTTCCAAGGGAAATGTTTCTATTTCTGTGAGAGAAGGGGTAAATGGGACTTCCTCTGACATAATTTTCATTTTAAATCTGAGCTTGACAGCAAGATTTTTACCTTCATAACCAGATATTACTGCTTAACTGCATGACTTGTATAAGCTTGCTAGTTGAAATGACTCACTCACGTAGATGAAGTTATTTTTAGGGAGATAATTTGCACTGCTTAGAAGAGAGGAAAAACGGGAGAGAGAGTCCTACTAAGAGCTAGATCCCTCATTATAGCTTACAGAGCTTGTGAACCCAGCATCTAAGCAAAAGATGACTAAGCAAGGGGTCTGTTGGTACTTTCAGGAATTTACAGACATGAGTCATCTGCTTACTTTCTGCAGACGTATCACCAGGGTACTTTGTGAGTCAGCTGTTATTTGGAAACAGTACTTGTATTCAACATGAATACGTTTTTGTAGTTTTTAGGTAACTAGCATGCCAAACCAAAGCGGGCTTTTATAGTTTGCCTGGTTCAGGTGTTGATTTACAAAAGCAGTGCGTTGTTTTTAACTGTGATGCATTCTTCATGACAAAGTGTAGATGTCTGGGAAGTAATTATGATAACGCTTACCTTACGTATCGCATGAAGGCAGATCTGAGTTTGTATTAATGCAAGGATTGAGAGTCAGATTGCCTATACGATCAGGTAAAAAAAATTTTCTTTATCAACCTGTGCGACTATGAGCAGAATTGGACCTTTATCTTCAAAGCACCTTGCTAGCGTTGATTACCAACGGTATTTGCTTATTTTTCATATACGATAAAACGCTTCTCCCCAAATCCAAGCATTCTGTGCACTCACAGTGTCAATGGATGAGCATCCACTGTGACGGAAGTGAGTTCTTGCCTTCCCTTCCTACTGCTGAAATAATAGATGGCTACCTTGAGATATGTATAACACTTTGCAACTCAAGGCTATTTCCTGTTTACTGGTCTTTTAGGTGTGGTTGTGTTCCAGAATTAGGGACAGGTTTTTTTACTTGGTCTGGACTCATCTCACACCTTGTATTAAGGAAACACTTGGGTTAGAAAAATGGGAGTCTGGCCATTTTAGGTGAAGGGTAGTGTTAGAAATCAAAGGCAGGTCAAAGTTTTCAAAACTCTACTTGCAGTTCAGGATGATACTGCTGTTGGCCAGATGTGGGATGCACAATTTTAAATCTAATTTGATTATCTGATTTAACAGTTTATAATGTAAGTAATTCCTGAAAATTCCGATACAGGTTTTTGTTAATAAAAGAAGAAAATGTTTTCTGTTATATTCTGGTGATACTGGTGTTGGAAAAATATTCTTATAAAAGAAAGGGTTCTTGTAATGAATGGAAGCATCTCTGTAGTGATAGCAATGTTTTGATTATCCATTTAAACAGCGTTTCTAGTGCTAGATACTTTCTTAAGTGCAAACCTTTAGTTTTAGGTAACAGGAAGAAAACTGGTGCTGCTTTGCCCCCATTATGTAGACAGAGGTTTTCAAAGACAAGTTAATGAAAGTTAGAAATTCTCAAGTAAAAAGTTAAGTATGAGGACTGAACTATTACTCGAGTGCTTTCCTAAGGTTTGTTATTCCTTTCACACAGTGATAAAATACACAAGCATATAGAGTAGCTTCTCCTTCAAGGAGTTGGTACTTAAGAAGGAAAAAGATGCACTAGAGGAACAGAGTTTAAGCACTCAGAGCTGAAGAAGTATATTTATAACGTTAAAACGGAGAGCCTGTCTCCTTGCTTCGTACTCTTTTCCACGGTGAAGTCCTTCAGAGGCTGCGGCACACATGTACCATCTGTGAGGGGAGGAGACAGCTTGCTTGCTGATAAATGGCCTCGATACACCAATGTTTTCAGGGTTGTTATTTAATAATCATGTTATAAAGAGGAATTTGACAGAGCAATCTTTGACTCTAACCTTAGTTACAGCAGTGATCTGCCCTCAAATTAGCAGAACTCTGCCCATGTCATTACCAGTTAAATATCTGCTGGAAGCTGCTGTGTGAGCTGAGTCACCAGGACTTGGGGAGTTATCACGTGTAGCTCAGACACTGGGTCATGAACTGAGCAAATGCTGTCGTCCACAGTGATTTGTTGTATTTTGAGACTACAGCTGGAATATCACATTCACTTTTGTGTACTTCACGGCTGCAAACAGTTTTACTCCTAGAGCTTGGAGGGTAATTGAGGGAAAAGGGAGCTATGGTTTGGCTGATGCACATCCAAATACTCAGATACAATTAGAAAAACTGAAAAATGAAGGGAATTGCAGGATGATAGCATGAGATTTAGAAAACTAAAAACTATCTTCAACTGATACTTCAGTCTATGAGCAGAGATTTCAAAGGCAATGCTCCATGAAGCATTTAAAAGTAGAAAATACAATGCATTACCAAGTGTATTGGAGGGGAGATCCTGTTCCACCTGAGGATGGGTTCAGTCCTGTAATGTTCCTTTCTCTTTCTTAAAATTCTGGTTTGTAGTGATTTTGCCACCTGCTTTGGCTCCTACTTCAGCTTTTACCAACTGTTTATTAAGTTAGGAGTCTTTCCTTCTCTTTAAAAAGGACTATGAAGTCACAAAGAGAGAATACTGAGAACTGAGGGAATACGGAGATTTACAGGGAGTTACTTTGCAGCGTTCTTGCATTGTGCAGAATTAAAGAATTGTTATTTGGAGGATAACAGAAAGTACATTACAGTTGTAGGTGCTTTGTAAATGAAGTCTACACCTTTAAAAGAAATGCACATTCTTCTGTTAATTTTGGTATTAGATTAGACATTTAATGTGAATAATTCAAGTCTGTTGTCATAACTCAGTTTAACTACAGATTTCTGAAGCCTCCTGAAATTAAAAGTAGACCAAGAAAATGTTAAGTATAAATCTGGCAATGAAAAAGTTAAGTTAAAAACCAGTTTCTGACCACATTATTAACTGTTGTAGACTATTTTATTGTTCTGCCAGACCTAGCTGATCATGAGACAGTGATAAGCAAAGGGAACTAAGAGGTTCTGATTTTTATTTTTAGTGAGATATTTTGGGTGTTAATGACTTTGCAGTGTGTTTTTGGTTTTGTGGGGGTTTTTTGTTTAACAGATGACGGCAAGTTGAGATCTTTTCCAACTCATGTGACTGAATCTTTCTACATCCTATATCAAATCATTTTACCACTTTAGATCTCAGACAGCTGTAAATTGAGAATGATAATGCTTTTGATGTCCATGGGGGCATTAAAATGAATTGGCTAACGCAGATAAAGAGAAATCTGTTTCTTGAATGGAAAACGTAAACAGAATGTGTTTTGTGAATTTTTGAAAGGGAAAATTTTGCTATAAAGGAAAATACTGCATTTTTTTTTCTATAACAAAATAATCAGGGTGTAAATGTTGTGATTAGCATAGAAATACACTAGCTAAACATTTTTTAAAATTATGTAATTTACAAAAATGTTTTGATAAAGCAAACTGTCCCATACCCATACAGTAATATGTTGGAATCATTACTTGTAAGAAATGCAGAAGTCTATGTTAGAAGTAATCAGCAATTTCTCCTGTTCTGTCACCTTTAAACCAATAGAAAAGAATGATATATTCCCAGTAAAAAAAAGAAAAAAAAAAGAAAAAAAAAAAAGAAAAAGAAAAACCCCACAATGTTGTATTTCTATGACTCTCTTTTTTCTTTTTGTTTTTTCTTCCTTTTTTTTTTTTAATTTCAGTTGACCTACCCCTCTACTTTCCTCGAGACCAACCAACCCTAACATTTCAGTCCGTCTACCACTTCACTAACAGTGGCCAGCTGTACTCCCAGGCCCAGAAGAATTACCCTTACAGCCCCCGCTGGGATGGCAATGAAATGGCCAAGAGAGCAAAGTAAGTCAGATTGCTGGTTGCTACTAAATATTCCATTTGCTACAGAGTCATCTGTCGGTAGAAATTTCATGGATTTAACTGTACATTTCCAGCATTATAAAAGCTGGAATCTGTTTTTGTTCTCATATAGTCCTAGTGTTTCCTGTATATGAGTATAGACAGATACTTCATTAATTACGCTTATTACGTTAGTGCCAGAGGACTGGTCAAAAGAAAACTCTTTCTGCTAGGCATTGTACAGGCACAGAGTGGTGACAATCTCTGCGCCAAAGAGCTTCCGATCTAAGTAGACAAAATAGCCCCCAGCAGGAGTAATCTGCATGATAGCACTTAGTCAAGGTAACTCCATGGTTTTGTGTTGGTGTTCGGGGGGGACCCTGAGGAGAAGCATGTGAGGTGGGGAGAGCAAGGAAGAAAAACCTGAAAGATATGGAATAAGGCTGTAATAAAAAAACACAGAAGAACAGGAAGAGGTAGTAGAGCAAACCACCAATCCGGCATGGGAGGCAGGCCTATCAGAACTTGAGAAAGTTCTCTGAAGGTCTGAGTATCTCTTTCTTTACTGCTTTTTCTGTTGGCTAGAAACAGAGAATCTCTGACTCCTTCCTCTGCAGTTTCTCTGCGAGCCCTTGTTTCAGGCTGGGGAGACACCACTTCGAGTAGCCCCCTGAAGATGACAGGACAGCCTCCCCAGAGTGGTTCTGTTGCAAGGGCAAGCTGCCAGGGGCAGTGGTGCCCCTATTGTATGCTAGATATTATCCCTGTCTTCTAGTGAAGCAAAACAGATTCTACCTGAATGGAGAAATATGGGCAATGGCCTTGCTGCAGTATTTCAGTTTTGCGAAGTGTAAAAACGTTCAAATAGCAAGAGATTTAAGCAGACTGATTATCAGTTGTTCAGCCTGTAAAGGCATCAAACTGCATAAATAACAAGGCATATTGGGATGAATGTTTTGAATGACAATCAGAAGATTAAATTAAATTAAATTAGCAAAGATGCGTAAATAAGGGTCGAATTAAAATAGTTCAGGCTGAGTAAATCAAATGAATGGCATGGTCAGAGACTGATTGTAATTTGGAAATGATGGAAGCAAACAACAATTGACTGAAGCATTTGCAGATTTTATACTAATTTAAATTTTATGGAGAACACCAAATAACATTTGAATTTGGATTTTGATGCATTGTAATAGAAATTTTTTGCTACTATTTAGTTTTACTACCATATCTATCCATGTCTAGGAGAGCCATTTCTTGATCAAATGTGATTTTTTTTGTGTGTGTGGATTTGTTTCTTTAGCAGAATATTATGAGTATATTTAAAAAAAAAAAAGAAACAATAACTGGAAGCATTACTGTGGTCTTTTTTAATGACTGTACTACAAAATGCATTTCTTTTGCAGCTGCAAGCTTACAAGTACCTCTGTGCTATCTGCTAAGTGCATTCATTTATGAGTGGGTGTATACAAATGGACTTCTCTGCCCTGCACTTGAAATTTAGAAGTATTACAACATTTTTTTTGAAAAGCACTAAATGTGTACACTTACTATCACATGTACGTTTTGTGAGGTTATTCACTCTTGTGTTTGAGCCTTTGCATTTAAGTTTTACACTGGATACATAATATGAGAAAGATGATGAGAAGCGGGGGAAGAAAGTATGCTGCAATGTCTGAAATAGCTATCATTGAGCTGCAAAGAGACAGAGAAGCTGCTCTAGTTAAAAGCACTTTGCTTGCAGGAACAACTAGTGATTCCTGACTAGGTACCATAAATAAATCTCTATCAAGAAGTGTGATGTTATGATACATGTTAGCATATTTTAAGAAAGATTTTTAACACAACTGAGTACCTTATGTAAACAGCATCTAAAATATTTGCTAGGGCTTCTTAGAATAGGTTAGTGTGTTTCAACACAACCAAATAATTTTTCATTCTACTTTATTTTTACTGTAGCCACATTATGGGCCAAGTATATAGGAATATATGTAGATCTATAGGAAAGCATTCTGATTAAATACATTAGTTGAAGCACCATGTCAAAACATCCCAAATAAAAACAGAAAAGAAGGATACGTGATTTAGCCTCTAGAAGCAATGTAATTCTGCTCAGCTGCAGTAAATTTAGCCCTGGATAAATCAGAGACAACTTGTTTGTGTTTCTAAATACTGTCTGTTAGGTTTTGCTTATATGTAGTCTTTTTCCCTCTTAGCCGAATGGTCTCCCAAGTGCTTGGCATCCTTTGAGACAAAACAGCTCTGTTTATCTTTGTGGCCCTACTGTTCTAGGGCCACAGGATCTCCCACTTGATGTTCTGGTGTCTGACCAAATTCCCCGCCGTTATTCTCAGACACTTGAGGGGCCAGTTTACACCATCTTCCTCACTGTAGCTTAAGACACCATCAGGGACGGCTTTTGCTTTCTCTTGCACCAGCTGGGTTCATTAGCTGTCCAGGATGTAGAAGCACCACTAACTTTGAAATACCGTCACTCAGAGATTTCCTCATCCTCAATTTTGGCAAACCCTGCCTCTGTTTTCAGCAACTCAGCACAGCCTGCTTATTCATGGGCAGAGCTGTCATAAGTTCATGCCAAAGGGACTTTGATTCTGTGCCCAGCCTTCTCCCAGGGTTGGGTTTTGGGGTGTTTTTCCAAACAGGTGAGCCCATCCAGTTCCTTCAACTCAGGGGCTAAACTTGAAAGTCTTGGTATCCTTGCTTATCTTTGTGGCTCCCAGCAGAGGTAGGCATCTCTTTTGAAGTTAGGACTTAACCCTTTGCTGTAGCCTTGAGACAATCAGTAGTAATTATAAGTAGGAGCAAAATTACTCCCCTAAAATACATACATAGAGAAGTAGATTGTATGCACTCACACTTAGACACATATCACCTGAATCTAAAAGGCAAATTCTCAAATCAGAGTATCAGCTTAGCAGGATCTTTTTCATTCACAGAGAAAAACTGCTTGTGTTCTTGCTAAAGTAATTGGACAATTTGTGCCTGTCTGATAAAGTCCATGAAATCGAGTTTCTCTTTCTGTGTCCTCTTAAGCAGTTTTTTAAATCACCTGTCTCCTTTGAGGCCCACTGACTTAGATTCCTCGCTGAGAGATAGCATCTGGTAACTGAAGCTTGCTATTGTCTTATCTCAGGGATTGCCCTCTGGCTTGATTTAATTCTGAGGGATGAATCAAGTCCTGATTAAATAATGTGATTCCAAATGCCTCCAGATTGCTTGTTTCTTAACTAAAGGCAAAATTTTAACCTGTTCCTCCAGCTAGAAACAGGGAAACCAAAAAAATTAAATTTTTCTTACAACCTGCTGAGATGCCATTTCCTCTCAGTTCACATCTCAGGCTTTGCCTCTCTTAGGTCATTTATTTATATGTCTGTGGCCTCCTGCGTAAGCAGCTTCTCTAAAAGATTTGGTCCTAAAATACAATAGCAAGCCTAAGAAAATACAGCAAATTATGGAAAGTTAGCAGCCTTGTTTGTGGTGTACGTGTGAAGTAAAACATCTCTGTGCGGTTTCCATGGGAAAGCTCTCTTGTTTTTTGCTTAAATAGGCATTCAAGTGTACATAAATGGAGTCTTTAAAGAACATGCAGACTCTAAGCCTGGGATTTTAGGAAGGAATACTGTAAATAAAGCTTGTTTGTTTATACAAATTAAGTTCAGTTCTTAGATGCACTCTGGCCCAATTTCTGTCCGACCCAGTGGTGCTCTGTAGAGTTAGGTTATACCTCGGGGAGAGCAAGTCAGGACTCAGTTTACTCTTTTATCCTACATAAATCCACCTACTTGTCATTAAAAATAGCAGGAGGATGGAAAACTGGTATCACAATAAAAAGTTGTTCTGAGGCTTCATATTCTTTTTTCAAGGTGGCTGATAAAACTTGTTTCTGAATAACATTGTCCCTGGCCATTCACCAGTGTTTGCTGAATGCGGTGTTAATTTTACATATCCCTCTGGGCTCTGTAAGGGTAAAAGTGTAAAAGGGCTCAAGTGCTCTCAACTGTATATTGGCTGTTGCTCTGCCATAAGGTCAAGTGCAGCTTAAGATTATATGAGACGCGTCTTGTGCAAGCTACATATGTATAACCAGCACGGCTGCAGCTACGGTTCGTGCTCAGCACGAGCGTGCTATGATTAGAAAGTGTCAGGCTGGTGCGCTGGGTCGGAGCAGTTTCAGCATCATCTATACCTTTTCCTTGAATATCTTAAAATTAGGAGGTGTGTATCATGTGAAGATCCTAGTTGCTATTTGGCTGAAATGGTTGCTTTAAGCTTTAATGTTCCCTGGCAAGGAGAAGAAATATATCTTTTGGTCTAATAAAAAGATATTTGGAAAAAGGGGACAATTTTTGTGTTGCCCTTTAGACAAACTCAGTTGCAATATGTCAAAGGCTTGCTGTTGTATTCAGTATATTTTGAACGCCCTCATGATTTTTTTTTTTATATCGACATTAACCAGTTTTTCAACTCATCCTTTTTTTTTTATTATCAAGTCAGAATTATTTCACATTTTAGGCAGAATGTCTATTACTACATTTTGCATTCTTTTAAAGTAGCAGGTTTCTCTATTTTCTTGAAACTTTTGTTTTCTATCTGTGCTACCTTGAATCTCACCATGAAGTTTACATGTAAACGTTGCACCTTTTTTATAATCTTCTCTCCTTGACAGGTGTAATTAAGGTAATAAGTAATTTGTTATTGTTTGGTTTGTATTTCAGTATTTTTCCTGCTTATTTGTAAAAGTAGCAAATTGTATTTTCATGCACGTTGGGCATCTTTAAAGAGTAGATTCCAAAAACTAACTTGTTTGCATTCACATGTACTCTCCTCAGAAAGCTCTTTTCTTGGCTGTCCGTGTGTTGCATGTTACCTTAAACTTAAGAAGACATTTAGAAAAATGAGAGTAGGGATCAGAAGCACAAAACATAAGGACATAATCCTTCCGTATGTGTTTGTGTCTTTGTGTCTGAACATTTGCAAGGCTCAGAGGATTCCTTTCGGAGAAGAGCAGCGGGGTGGGTACGAACTAAGGGGTGAGGTGCTGAGCTGTGTTGCTTGTTTAACTCTTTGGTATTTGATAGTCTCGCATCAGAAACTGAACAAAAGTGATTTCCTTGCCTGAAATTGAGTAAGGCTGACATTTTGTTGCTGCTGGTGGGCTCTTTTTCAGAACGCAAAAGGGCCAATACACTGTGACAGCCATAGCGAGAAGAGATGTGGTGACCCCGCCATGTGATGCTTACAAAGAAGTTAATTTGATTTCATAGACCATTAAATCAAAACTCTGATTTTCTGTGAGAGTGTCAGCTGATCAAAATTAAATGTGAAAAGTAGGAATGCAAGTAGAAAAATTTGTTTTGTTAAAATACTTAATGATTGCGTTTGTCCTTGTAACATTTTCTGCGGTTGATTTACCAGCAAACCTTAATAACAAAATTATTTTGATTATAAGATATAATAGACAGAATAGATACAGGTTTTAATTAGTATTTTCCTAAGATATTGGGTTTTTTTACATTGTTCCTCTGCATACACTACAGAGTACAGTGCATACACGTGATAGTCGCACTTCTTGAGTCATATTTTTCATGTACTTTTCTTTAAATGTCTCCTTGGATAATTAAGTCTGACTCTTAAGTTATGGTATGTTAGTTTCTGACAGGTGCCTGCCAGGGATCTTCAGTGCTGTCATGCATTATGTGGATTTCAGCCAAGACAGAAGGGCCTGGGTATTTGTTTCTGGTCACTTCTCATTAAAGCTTTGACTATGGGAAAAGAAAAACAACTATTTAAAGATGAGGAGTATAGGTGCTATAGGAAGTGCATAGAAATAAAATCTGTTAGGCAACTAGTTTTCCTGTGTTTTTATATAGGCATTATGTATATGTGTGACTGTACATACGTGCGTTTCGATATATAGTAAATATTCTTTCTGTAAAAAAGGATTCTCTCATATTGACAAGAGAAATGTACCAAAGAGATCGGAGGAGTTGGCTTGGTAGAAGTGGAATATAATAGCACTTTGCTGGAAG